GGTTTAATTGATCTGTATTATATTCTTCACTTTAACTACGATTACAGACTGTACGTATATTTCATTAATATTTGTTGAGTAAATTCATATATTAGGTGTTTTAATTGATCTGAGTTATATTCTTTACTTTAATTACGATTACAGACTGTAAGCATATTTATATAATTTGTTGAGTAAATTTATATCAGTGGTTGAATTGATCTGAGCTATATTCTTTCTTTACTTTAACTACTATTACAGACGGTAAGCATATTTTTATTACATTTGTTGAGTAAATTCTTATTATAAGTGGTTTGATTATTAGAGTTATATTGTTTACTTCTAGGGAGTAAGCATATTATAATTAAATTTGTCAAGTAATTTTATATAATAAGGGTTTGATTGATCTGAGTTATATTCTTTACTTTATTACGATTATAGACGGTAAGAATATTTCATTAATATTTGTTAAGTAAATTCTTATAATAGGTTCTGATTTATCTTTACTTTAGGGCGTAAGCATTTTTTTTATTAATATTTACTGAGTAAATTTATATAATATGGCGTTCAATTGATCTGAGTTATATATTTTTTACTTTAACTACGATTACAGTCGGCAAGCATATTTTAATTAAATTTATTGAGTAAATTTATATATAGGCGATTTAATTGATCTGAGTCATATTATGTACTTTATAGACTGTAAGCATATTTTCATTAATATTTATTGAATAAAGTTATATAATAGGTGGTTTGATTGATCTTAGATATTTTTTATTTAAACTAACATTTACAGACGGTAAGCATATTTTATTTATTTTTGAATAGATTCATATAATAAGTAGTTTAATTGATGAGTTATATGCTTCACTTTAACTCAATTACAGTCGGTAAGCGTATTTTCATTAATATTTGTGGAGTAAGTTTATATAATAAATAGTTAAATAGTTCTGAGTCATATTCTTTTCATTAACTATTACTACAGACGGTAAGCATATTTAATCAATATTTTAATTGATCAGAATCATATTCTTTACTTTTACTACAATTACAGAATGTAAGCATATTTTCATTAATATTGTTATGTAAATTCATAATTGATGATTTAGTTGATCTGAATTGCATTCTTTACCTTATACAGTTTTCGGTATGTATATTTTTAGTAATATCTGTTGAGTATATTTATTTAATAGATCTGAACTATTTTCTTTAACTGCGATTACAGACGGTAAGTATATTTTCATTAATATTTGTCGAATAAATTCATATCATAGATGATTTGATCGATACTAATTATATTCTTTACTTTAACTACTATTGCAGACGGTAAGCATATTTTAATTAATATTTGTCGAGTAAATTCATATCATAGGAGATTCGATCGATATTAATTATATTCTTTACTTTAACTACTATTACAGACGGTAAGCGTATTTTATTTATATTTGTTAAGTAGTTCATATAATAGGGGGTTTAATTAATCTGAGTTATATTCTTTACTTTTAGGGCGTAAGCATATTTTTAGAATATTTTAAGTAAATTCATATAATAGGATGTTTAATTGATCTGAGTTATATTTTTTATTTTTAGGGGGTAAGCATATTTTTTAATATTTGTCGAGTAAATTCATATTATAGGTGATTTGATTGATATTAATTATATTCTTTACTTTAACTACGATTACAGTCGGTAAGCATATTTTAATTAATATTTGTTGAATAAATTCATGTTAGTTGGTTTAATTGATCTGAGTTATGTTCTTTACTTTTAGCGGGTAATCATATTTTCATTAATATTTGTTGAGTAAATTCATATCATAGGTGGTTTAATTAATGAGTTATATTCTTTACTATAACTACGATTATAGACAGTAAGCATAGTTTCATTAATATTTGTTGAGTAATATCATATAATTGGTGATTTTATTGATCTGAGTTATATTCCTTACTTTAGGCTGTAAGCATATTTTCATTAATATTTGTTGAAAATATCATATCATATGTGGTTATATTAATGCGTTATATTCTATTACTTTTAGGGAGTAAGCATAATTTCATTAATATTTGTTAAGTATATTTATATCATAGGGGATTTATTTAATCTGAGTTATATTCTTTACTTTTAGTGGGTAAGCATATTTTCATTAACATTTGTTGAGTAAATCTATATAATAGGTGGTTTAATTGATTCGAGTTATATTCTTTAACTACAATTACAGACGGTAAGCATATTTTTATTAATATTTGTTGAGTAAATTCATATCTTAGGTGGTTTGACTGATGTGAGTTATATCCTTTACTTTCAGGGTGTAAGCATATTTTCATTAATATTTGCTGAGAAATTTAATATACACTGTAGGCGGCTAATTTATTTGAGTTATATGCTTTACTTTTAGGGGGTAAGCATATTTTATAAATATTAGTTGAATAAATTCATTATAGATAGTTTAATTGATCTAAGTTATATTAATTACTTTAACTACAATTACAGACAGTAAGCATATTTCACTAATATTTGTTAAGTAAATTTATATAATGGATGGTTTAATTAATGGGAGTTACATTTTTATTTTTAGCATGTAAGCATATTTTCATTAATATTTTTAGAGTAAATTCATATCATAGGTGGTTTAATTGATCTGATTTATATTCTTTACTTTAGGGGGTAAGCATATTTATTAATATTTGTTTCGTATATTAATATCTTAGATAGTTTAATTAATTTGAGTTATATTCTTTACTTTTAGGGGGTAAGAATATTATTATTTATATTTGTTGTTTTAAATAAATTACATTTTTCTGTTTACTATTAGCTTTAATATTTTGAGTGATGCATATTTTTAATCACTTAGTTATATGCAACCTATGTAAAAAAAATATCCCTCGTTACTGGTGTCATTCTTGCAACTCTTTTCATTTTAAAAAAGAATTTGAGAAATGGACAAGCGGAAACAAAGATGTTGATAATTTCATACAAAAAACACAATTAGAAGCAACAAGTAGACATAAAGTACTTGAATGGATTCCCTACGAAAAATTTGAAAATATCAAAAAAATAGGTGAAGGTGGTTTTGCGAAAGTTTATTCGGCTGAATGGAAGGAAGGATATATTTTATATTCGAACATATATGGTCTATGGAAGAGATTCGGGGAAATAAAGGTAGCACTAAAAAGTTTAAAAAACACTCAAGAGATATCTAAAAAATATTTGGAGGAGGTAATAATTATATTATCAACACAATAAAATTTTAATCCTTTTTGTATCGCGTAATAAGATTAAATATTTATTAATCTGATTATTTAGAAACTTATTTTACTGATAATACATTTAACTTCAAACTTAGATAAAAAACCTTCATAAAGTAAACGATTATAGATCACAAATTACCAGATGCTATGGAATCACCAAAGACAAAAAATCAAACCTTATGATCGTTATGAAATTTGTTGATCATACTAAGGTGAATCACGAGATATCATGGAAAGAGAAGTTTAATCGTTTACATTATACTGCACTTGGATTGTACAAAATTCACGAATCTGGATTAGTTCATCGAGATTTTCACCCTGGAAACATTCTTTTTTCTAATAAAAATGATGAGGTTTACATAACAGATTTAGGTTTATGCAAACCAGCCAATTATAAAGATAATGAGAATAAGATATACGGGGTTCTTCCTTATGTAGCGCCTGAGGTTTTTTATAATAGGATACATACAAAGGCTGCAGACATTTATTCATTCGGAATATTTATGTGTGAAGTATTTTCTGGCGCTTCTCCTTTTAGCGATGTTGATTGTGAAAATGAGGAGGAAAGCAAAACCCTTGCGATTGAAATCTGTAACGGGATGCGACCAGATAGTAAAGATATACCCCCTTTAATAGCTGAATTGATAAAAAAATGCTGGGATGCTGACCCAGCAAGAAGACCATCCGCAGAAGACTTGTGTAAAATTTTAAATGCTTGGAGAAAGTTTGCATCCGATTCCGAACTTGGCAAGCAAACTAATGCAAGTGAAGTGAATCAAACACGTCAACCACTTGGTCGTGTAAGTGAACGAATCCATACAAGTCAACTTCTTCGCACAAGCAAACTTCTTGATTTTAAAAATCTTCCACAGCCAAAAAATTCTAAATCTGGATGAATAAGAAAACTCGAGCAAAGTCTTAATCACGGCCGAAAAATTAATGCTCAAAGCAAAGCAAATAAATCATAATAGAATTTTAATATATACCGTTTACTAACAATTTAATTTAAAATTTTTAAATAGTTTGATATTTTGGGATGCTTCTTCATTTGTTACTACAATCGTTATCTAACAAATGCTTTGTGTTGATCTATTTACTACTGTATAACATTTTTTCTTTATTAGGTTACTTTATTTTTATTAAATTTGTTTTTTAATTTATCAATCTGATATTTCATTGCTTAATCTTGATAAACTTGTTTTATGGGTACAAAGGAAGATTTCTGATTAAGATGGAATGGGCTTCAATTTTACTTATTCTTATAAATCACAACTGACCAGTGTTCCAAATGGGTCGGGTCAAAATCGGGTTTGGCTCGTTTTGACTCATTTGACGTTCAATATTTTTAGTCCGAGTTTAAAAATAGAAAAATAACGAAACTAAAGTATACAGCCAAACCCTAGATATAACGATTCAACTGTTTTGGTGTATTGAGATATTACTTCATTATCAAATCTTATTTTTTTTATATCGTACCGTTTATTAATAAACTCACGAATACGGATGTACTAAAAAAGGGAGTTTCCAGCCATTTCCTTTCTTTTTATTTGTTTTATTAAAGAGACTGTGTGAAGTTTAGTTGGTGTCATATTTCATAGCGCTTGTCCATGATTCGAAAATACCACCCCAAAATTGGCAAAAAAACTCACTTTGATAGAGAAAATGTTAACATGATCTATTGATTATAAATACGAGTATACCAACAGCAACTGTAGTGACACTAACAAGTTCCAACCAATTATATAAGTCATAAGTTCACTTATTGTAGCATAGGAATCCGAAGTTAACTCGAATAAGGAAATTGTCTTTGTTCCAACGAGATTAGAAGAACTGGTTTTCAATATGTGTAATAATGAAAGGAATTGGACCTTTAAAGTTAGCATGAAACAGAGCTTTTTGATTATTCTTCATTAGAATGAGGCTAGGTTCATTCAGGTCAAGTATCATGGTTTGTCGGAATTAGTTGTGATAGATTAAGGATTACTTTATAGTATAAAATCATTATGGACTAATTCTAACTTTAAACGCTTATTAATATGATAAAAAGAGAAATTTGAGACTTTGGAATTCTATCTCGTCAGGGTAAGACAAATTTGTTTGAGTTAAGTATTTTTGTTTGCCACAATCATTTGGTGGTATAAATAATATGGTCGACTAATGATTCGAAAATTTTTTTATTGTAGAAAAAATCTAGAGATAGGGATAGGAGAAAGCGAATAGATACAGTGGTACCCAAAATTATTTGGAATTTTTTGATGATTATTTGCGCAACAGCCAATAATTTAATAACTACATAATACGATTTATTTAATTTGTAAGAACCACGAAATTAAATGACAGGTATTGTTAATAGTTTATTCTTTCGCCGTTTCCATCAATTATCACCCTACATCTCTCTTGCATCAAATTGATCAAATTTTTATAGGTATTCTTTGGAACCTTTCCCCATTCTTCGATTATAAACGTTTGTAACCCATCTAAATTTTTTGGTTTTTTTTTCTCCACATTTTTTTTTATGATTCCTCATAAATTTTTGATGGGGTTAAGGTCCGGGCTGTTTGACGGCCAGTTGATAACACAAGGAACTGTTTTATTGAGAAAATCCTTGACTAGGCGGCTTGTGTGCTTAGGATTGTTATCCTGCTGAAGCTGCCAATCGTCGCCCATCATTTTTTTAATCTCCAGAAGTTAGTTTTTTAGGATTTCAATGTAAAACGAGGTGTTCATCTTTCCTACAAAACAATAAATGCTAGTTTTACCCTGCAGGCTAAATGCATCCCAAACATGAATTTTTTGTCGGTTCTTAGGGATGTGACGGACAGGACGACTGTTTTTGTATTACTGAGTGATCGTGTTCCTAAACAGTTGGAACGAAGTTTTGTCAGAAAAAAAGGTGCAGGACCAATCATCATCAATATGTTCTTGGGCCCATTTAACCTGTTTCTCTTTATGCTCCTCTGTAAGCATAGGTGTTGCGAGAGGAAGAGAATTTTTGTAACCGTTGGCGCAAAGATGCCTTCGAACCATTTCTCTTCCGAGTATTATACCCTTTTCTGAAAGTTTACTTACCAACTCACCCACCGATATTGTAGGAATTCGCCTAATAAATTGACTGATTGCACGTATTATACTTGAATTGACTTTTCTTGGACAACCTGCGCCCCTTCGTTGTGCCACATTATCGGTCTCTTTTAATTTTTTTAGGTTGTAATATATTGTAAAGAGGCCGATGTTCATATGCCACTGAATTTCTCTCACGAAGCGAATTCCTTTACTCCATAAAAGACAAATAGCTTTGTGCTGCTGGTTTTTTATTAAAGAGGTCATTTCACGCCATTATTTCTTGCAGAATACATTATATACAAAAGAGGGTGGAAATGGACAGGTTATTGTAAGATAAATAAAGTATGATTACACATGTCAAAAATTCACTTACCTTTTGTAGTTACAAAATTACGTTTGATAATTATCACTCTAAAAAATTCCAAATAATTTTGGATACCACTGTATAATATAACAGAAAAAAATAACTAATGTTTGGATAATTGATTTAGGCATATACAGTATATTATTTATTTTCCTGATATTCTCAATCACACTTAATACAGTGCCTAGTTATAAGTAATAATTATTTTTAATCTATTTATTTTAGTTTATGTTTTAAAACTATAATTTTATTATTATTCAAAAGCATACATAATTATAAAATATAATAAAAATGTATAAAAAATATCTAAAAACATTATTTAAATTTAAAATCAATATTTTGTATAAAAGCCTTTAGCTTTAATAACGGCATTTATTCTATGTTTCATATTAATTACAAGATTTTGATATGTTTTTTGTAAAATTTTTTCTTATTTTTCTTTAAGAGCCTGTTTTAAATTTTTTAAAGTTTTAAATAGATATTTTCTTCTGTGGATATATCTATCAAGTTTGTTCCAAATATTTTCAATAGAATTACAATCTAGACTTTTTGCAGATCAAGATATAATATCAATACCCATTTGTTTTTTTCACTATTTCATATAAGCTCCACAATATGCGAGTGCATTATTATCTTATAAAATAAGTTGAACATTATGTGTTATTTAAATTTGTTGATATCAATTATAAAAATACTTTATAAAAGTATTAATATATACATCATATGTAATACTTTCATCAATAATTATTAGCAGTCCAAGTTCACCATATCAAAAGCAACTTTAAATCATAACAGAACTACTATCACCTTGTTCTTTAGATTGTATACTATCAATTAAATATTTTTTATTTGGTTAACGTCAAACAAATATATGTCTATCATTATGAATCAAATTAAATTTAGATTTATCACTCCAAATAATATACTTCCAATCTGTACTTTTTTTTTTAATCTTTTGTCCAAATTAATTGAGATTTTGCATATATTTTAGACAATAATAGTTTAAATACTGTAGTACAAGCCTTTAATCCCAAATTATATAAGCAACGTCAAATAATATATTCTGAAATTTTAATTTCTAAGCCTTAATAAAATTCTTGAGTAATTGCTTGTATTGAAGCTTGTATATTTTTTTTAACTATATATTTTAAAATACAGAGATTACAATCTTTTAAAATAGTTGAAGGTCCAAAATATTTCTTTGGTATTGCAGAACTAGTATTTGCTCAATAGTTAATTGTATGTAATATGATTGTATAAGAAAAATTTGTTTAATGATAAATATTCATTTTTTTTGACTCTAGCTTTATACATGTCAATTATTTGATCACAATTAAAATCTAACAATTCTTTATATATTTTAATATTTTTTATATTGTTAAAAAACAATTTTTAATAACAATATAAAGTAGAGTACATAGTTAAATTTATAAAAAATATATATTTATAAGAAAATAATTAAAAAAATGATATTCAAATTTATAAAAATTACTATCATCTATGGCCAGGCACTATAAATTTTGAAAGTAACTTTATCTGTTAATAATACTAATCCTGAGCATGTTTCATAAATAATCTGCAAGGTCTATAAAGCCACCTAATTACTACATACTAAATTATTTTAGTAGAATTGATTTGTTTTTTTCTATAAACAATATATCTGCTGAATAATTAAAAATGCATGATTTTTTCATATAATACTAGTTAAACTTTAAATTTTCTATATTCAGGATTATTATTTATTTGCTTATAGCTTGTCAAATTATTTTTAATACAAAATACAAAATTTTCCAATAATTTCTATTATTTATTTCATATCTTAATTTTAATAAATACTTATATATATATTTTGATGAATAATATTTTATAAATCATAATCATACTTCTGATGTTTTAATATTGTTAATAATATAATTTTTACTATATTCACTTAACCTATCTTGTACTGTGTCATAACTTTGCAATACTTTAATATAACTCATTATATATTTGCTATTTATTTTATATATACTGTATGTATCTAATATAGTTTTTAATTTTTGCATATACAGTATAAATAATTGGAAGATTAAGATTAGATGTTACACACTTATTACTCAAAACAATTAGTGATATAATTACTACTAAGGATTTAACAAATACATTACTGAATCTAACTAAAAAATATAATATATCATATACATGAATTTGTGAAATATGGAAATTTGCTATTGTGATAAATAATTAATATTTATTGTATTTCAAAATTTTATATATATATGCTATAGATTTTCCAAATATTTTCAAGTATATTTAATCTCATAACTAGTTTTATTGAGCAATATTAAAGTTTTGTTTGGGAAGTTTAATTTTATTACATTTTCTTGAAACCATAGCTGATTCAATATCAATATAGATTCAAGTTCAGATTTATTAGTAATAAAAAATTCATTAACTTTTACTTATTTCTATTTTCAATCTTGAGAAAGAATTAAAATTTTCATTACATAAATTATTCCTAATATATTAAGTTTGCTAATAAGACTATATATTTTTATATCAAATATATTATTAATTTTTATTAAGCCTACTATTTTTGTTATACTCTTACCTATAATATTACAATTAGTACCAGAATCTAGTATAACTATTATTAGGGTTCCGATCGGTACCATTCGGTACGGTATTTCATAAAACTGATACCAAAAATATTTTCGGTATCAGTACTGGTAATTACCGAAAATTTTCAGTACGAAACTTTGCAATACCGATATCGAACCGAAAGTACCGAAATTATCAAAATTAAATAAGTTTATATTTT